TCAGGGACAGTTACACAAGAGATTGCCCATCTTTGTCTTGTGAAGCAGCTGGTGGATTTGAACTGCATACCTTTATGTTGGCAGCACAATTCCTTATCATTCTAGCAGAGCTAGCCTATTATGTGACTAGAAGCTGAGTCATTATAGGGTGACAGTCCAGGCTTGACAGGTGCCAACATCTGTGGTCTTAAGGGTCCTACCAGTCTCTATCATTAAGTTTTGCCATTTAGGATTTTTGCATTTTGCTCCACATTTATCTCCCACGTGGTTCAAGGATGTCTGTTGTTACCCCCCCGCACCCCGCCTGCCCACTTGCTATCCCTCTGCGAGCTGTCAGCAGTGGTAAGTTATCCTCTAGTTCTCCTGGTGGTAATCTGCACTTAAAGTTAGCCCAGGTGCATCTGTGGCAGGCGGCTGATGCTCCACCATGAGAAGCCTTTCCTTGGTCTCTTTATAAACTGTGTTCACTTGGTTCGTAGGACGATCTTCAAACACTGCACTCCCCCTTGTGACTGTCTCTGTATTTCACTCTTTAATAAAACACCTCGCAAAAGAGTTAAGACTCACTAGCTTCAGCACTGGCTCACCAAACGAGGTCACATTCACCACTGTAGATACTGTTGTAGGTGCTATTGAGTCGAGTATGACTCATAGCAACCCTATTAACAAGAGGTCTGAATTTTGTCCTATCCTGTGATATCCTCACTGTCCTCACCATCCAATACTTCAGTCCACCGCTGAAGTCACTGTGTCAATCCATCTGGTTGAAGGTCTCTCTCTGTCCTCCTACCTTTCCAAATATAATGTTCCTTTCTCCTTGGACATTAGCTTCTCCTAGCAACATTCCCCAACTATGTGAGAGGAAGCTTTGTCATCTTTGACTCTAGACCGTAGAGCTTACTTACTTTTTTTTTTTTTTTTGGAGTTGGGCAAAAGTCATCTACCATGTGAGTGAACCTCAGCCAAAGATGTTCTAGGATGATGGTCAGTGACAGCTGTATCTGGAGAAGTGGAGAGGAGGTAAGGAAAGGAAGATCCCTGTGAAAGAAATGTCTAGATCCAGAGCTGCCTCCTTCATTTCTGGAGAAGAGAATTAAGGACAATGGAAGCCAAATGAACTGGATGTCACATGACTGGATTTAAAGAAAACTAGCATCGTGTTCTTTGGTGTAGCATGTAAGGAGTTGCACTTCTAACAGAGGTGGCGCCTCTGGCGGTCTGAATTCATGGGAGGCTCCTAAGGAGAAAGGCAATCTCCTCCCCTTTGACTTACCGATTTGAGAACCCTTTGGGAGGGTCAGCCAAAAGTCGGTTCCAGGTCTGTGGCCATGATTTTAGAGAGTCCTTAACTTAGGTGAGAGAAATGTAGCCCTGGAGTGAGACATTCCAACTTCTTGAATGGATGCATACCCTTGAACTCGAGTGTTATTAGAAGGTAGGAGGAAATCAATCCAGTAAATTCATCAAAAGGCCAACTTCCTGAGGAAGAGAGAGCTCTTGTCTTCATGACTAATACATGCACAGAACCGAACTTGTGTAAGATCTTAGAGCCACGTCTTTGAATTCTAAAATTTCCTGGGTGGGAAGTCTCAGAGGAAACAATGATCAGTGTCCTCTTCTTACAGGGAAGTGATTTCATCTACACTTGAATTTGAATTAGTCACCATGTAACTCTGAGAAAGTGCTAAGGGAACCAGTGCTATCTCCATCATCCTGGAGAAATGGCATCCGTTCCTTTAGGTGACAGCATCTCTGCTGCCTGTTTACATTTCTGCTGTCAGACAGCTTCTGGATCTATCACATTTGCATAGTTTAAAATTTTTAAAACTTAATCTGTTGACTGGTCCTGAGTATGTCTGGAGGCTGAGGAATATTGACGCAAAGGATACAGCCAAGAAAATAAAAAAATAAAAAAATTAAGGGAATTTCTTCTGCAGAATGCTGTAGTTTATAATAAACTTTCCATACAGAGAAGACCAGTCTTGGCAACTTCCAGACTACTTTGCTTTGCCTTATACAAGAAAGCCCTTTTCTTTTCACTTACTTATCTTAACCCTCATCATCTGCTCCATAAATCTGTCTGAAGGGGTTCTTCCAACTCATTGAGCCTTCATTTTCTCAGGCTTACTTAAGGGTCACACCAGCTTCTTAGCTTTCCAATCCCGGTTTTCTGTGTACCTGGAATCTGGCTTAGTGCTGGATAGGCAGAACTGGCTTGTAGACCTTAGTGCCTTTAAGGACTTGGCAGAACAAGTCCAAGAAATCTCCTGATCAAGACTGGATTGAAACAGCCACTCAAATTTTGCAACAATGGTCTGGTCTGCCTTTTATTAAGGTGACCTGGAGCCAAGACCTCTCAGTATAAGATCCTCACCTCGGGGGGAAAAAGCAGAAGCCCCCTGGTCATGTTAGCCTGCTGTCTATCCATTAGAGGAAAGTCACTAAACCTTCATGGCCATTGCCACCAGCATTCTTCAGGACCAACCAGGATAGTAGGGGCCAAATCTTGGGAGACAAAACCTCCCCTTGATCCTTGAATTTGCTCCTTATAATGTCCTGGGGCAATAAGGGTAGGTCTGTCAGTCAGTGAGACTGGCTCACCAGAGGGCAGGCTTGAGAGCTGTTGTGCATAGGGTCGCTATGAGCTGCAGGTGACTCGACAGCACATAACAATGTCCAGATATCTGGACAGCGTCAGGAGCCTCCCACCAGGGCTGAGAGCCTCTTAGAAATGAATGTCTTATTCCAGGGAAGGTAGTTTGTGCTAGAACTAGACTTGTCTGTGGAACAGAGTATTAGACCAGACATAAGGGCTCATTTGTTAACTTTTTTCTGAACAAGCTACTAATGTTGGTGTCATTGAAGTTCTTTTGAGTTGCTTTTTAAAATCTAGTATTCTAAGTCTTGGTACAGCTTTTCCCTGGAGCTCCATTGGACCACTTCTCTGGGCCTAAGTCTTCATTCGTGACTCGGTCCTTCACTGATTTGGCAACATCCTCATGATCCTGCCTCTGCTAGTTATTCACAATGGCTACTCTGTGGCCCTGACGCTGTGCTTAAGGAGAGAATAAGAAGCAGTATGAAGTGTAGGCTGCTATGGAACCATCACAAGCAAATCAAGTACAGTAGAGATGGAATTGTTGTTAGGTACTGTCAAGTTAAATATGACTCATAGAAACCCTATGGTAAAGGACTGAGCCCTGTCCTATCCTGTACCAACCTCACAATCTCTGACCCCCTCAAGGCCATTGCTGTGTCAACCCACCTGGCTGACGGTCTTCCTCATCTTCAGAGAACTGGAATATGGGATGGCATTTAGGAGGTAATCTAGTGGTTTGTTTTGCTTTTTTAAAGAGATCTGGAGCAGGGTTTCAAATCCTTTTATTCTGGGTCTCAGTAGATGGGACACAAAGGTGATTTTACAAAAGATTAGAAACAACTATGCTGGCCAACTAAACTGGTTCTTTCTGATTTTTTAAGAAAAGTGGTGGTTTTTTTTTTTTTTTACTTGTATAACCTAACACTTGACAACTCAACAATTTTCACATGTATAATTCAATGCGTCATCAATCTGGGATTTAAGCTTTCTTCGGTATGTATTCTCTAGCATTTTGGCTTATTACATAAAGATACTTGATCAGGTATTGTCCTTGACCCAGCAACATTGTTACCACCTGAGAATTTATTAGGCATTGTAATTTGGGTCCCGACTCAGATTTTATGACTCAAATGCTGAGGGTGAAACCCAACTATGTGTGTTTTAATGAGCCATCCTAGTGATTCTGACGCACCTAAAAGTTGGGGAACCATTTTTCTACCTAGTTACCAGTGAAGACAGTGATAACAGCTGCCCGTGAGAGCACATTGACACAGTGACGCTAACGACAGAACTTCCCTCGAGGTTTGAATCAACAGCCTTGCATGAAACCAGCTGGAGGGTCAGGAATGGGTTGGCACTGCCTTGAGGGCAATGAGAATGAGATGAGAAAGTAGTCACAGTGGTTACAGGGATTGGACTTAAGAACCAAATGGTCAGCAGTTAAAACCCACCAAATGTTCCATGGGAATAAAATGTGGCAGCCTGCTTCTAGAAGGACAATAGTGTTGAAATTCCATGGGCTGTCTACCCTGTCCTACGAGGGCTCTGTGAGCTGGTATTCACTCTGTGGTGGTATTTTGTTTATAAGGGGTGGAAGGCAAGGGATGGAGTTGAGATGGGATGGGGGAGGGGCTAAGCATTAGGCTCTGAATATTTGGTTTGACCAACTTGGAAAAAGAACTAATGATCTCAGAGACTCTATGAACACAGATTATAACCTTGCCTTACCTTGTGTTAAGCTCAAATCCAGTGAGTATGCACTGTGTCAAGCTTTTTTTCTGTAAAAAATTAGATAGCAAATGTTTTAGAACTCGGGGTCATACAATCACTATTAGAACTACTCAGCTGTTAGTTTTGTGAAAACAACTGCAAAACATACACAAATGAACATGATTATGTTCCAATAAAACTTTATTGCAAAAACAAACAAACAAAAAAACCCAAACAAAAACAGGTGGCCGGCTGGATTTGGCCTTTGGGAAGTAGTTTGGTGACCCATCCTAACAACTAATGCCGTATTTTTTAAAGTAGCAGAACCCCCTTCTTTGTACTTTGTGTGACAGGAACTACTCTGGCTAAGGCACCATCTGTCCTGTTTTCTCCATCCTTTTTTCCTTAAAGTGAACCCTTACACAGCCTTTTCCTCAAACATACTTGAGTACTAAGTAAGCAGTACAGTTTCTGGCCCGAGAACCACTTAAATTTTGCCCTTGGATCAGTAAGTCATCTCTGATTCAAAGACACCCATAATCAAAGAATGGAAGTTAAAGGGGTCAGAGTGCAGCCTGAGGTCAGGCCTAGATCTGGAAGTTGGGGGAGTGTCCTTTGCTCTAGTACATGGTCTCTAATCTTTCATGCAGGTGCCAGCCAGCTCCCCAGGACTGATAGAAACACTTCGAGTATGAGTCACGCAGACAGTCACGCAGACAGCCTCGCTGTGCCCTGTGGGCAGATGAGCCAAGGCCTCAGACTCTCTTTGTTGGAGAAGTTGCTGGAGCTACAGCAGATCCTGAAGGAGAACCTCTTGACTTTGATGGTCAAGGGTAAGCATCATAGCTTGATTCTGGAGCAGCAGAAAAAGGACCTGGAGGAGATATATACTGAGGTCATTGATAAGCAGAAAATAGCCCGTCTAATGGATCAGATGATCAGCCTCCTACAGTTTGTGCCCCACAGCGATAAGGAACCCCAACTACCTCCACACTTCCTGGGCTCCGAGCCTCCTAGCGGTGTGTGGGAAGGAGAACCCAGCAGGGAAGTCTCCCTGTTGCATGAGGCTTATACGATATCTAAGGACCACAACCTCTCTACCCGTGGTGAAGAGGTCTGTTTTTTGTACCGCTCTGGCTTTGAAGACTACATGGCGTACCTGGCAAACAAATACCATGAAGACAATAACAGCTCGGTGAGAATGTTCCCTTGGCACTTGCCCCTTTAATGATTTATATTTCCTAAATACCTCTGTGTTGAATAACTTTATCTTCAAACCTATAATTACTGATGCCTTTCTAAGAGACAAAGAAAGGGATGTGTCTAAGAAAGTTGTAGACCTGGGGTCTGAACCTCCAGGCATTCATTCTCTAAACCTCCACTTTCAACTACTAGGGATCAAGTACTGGGGTCATTGTAATAAGTGAGTCTGGCACTTAGGAAGTGAGTTTAGTCCTAGATGTAGTCAGCTATTAGGAATCAACGTCCCTGATGGCTATCTTCTTTAAGTCCTCTGGAAAGGACTTTTTCTTTAAGAATGAATTAGCCCATCATAGCAGGAAAGGATCATCCAGGAGGGGAGGAATAGCATGCCTGAAAGGTGGGAAGAGCTTGGTGTTACTGCGAAAGTAAGGTCATGAGGCTATAGTCCAGACAATGAACACTGTTGCTGTGGTCAGAGGTGGATGGGAGTAGGCCACAGTGTACTGTTATGACACAACAAAGCTTTTATCAAAGTAAGTTCCTAACAACTCTCTAGTCAAGATAGTCGAAGCGTAGGTGGATAGCACCAGCCTCACCTCACTCCTCTTCCTCTGTTGCTGTCTGAGAGTGTGGTGGTTGGCCATCTGCTTTCCTAGAGGTTGGATCACACATCACCAATGACACTGGGGGACAAGCTCTCCTGTAACTTGAAGGGCTCTTACATGAATAGAGAAATAGCAGAGATGAGTGTGAAGATGGTTCCTGTGGGGATCAAGGGTCCGGGCTTTGCGGTTAGACAGGTGGAGTCTAGTCTGTCATCTGAAGTCCCAGTGCTAGAAGCTGTTGTTGGTATTGTGTTGTTGAGTTGATTGTAACTCATAGCAACTCGATGAACAATAGCTCTGAATCCTACCCTATGTCCTGAGCTAACCTTGCCTTTTGGACCCACCTGGCCCCATTACCACAAACAGTGTGTCAATCCATCTCATCCAGGATCTTGCTCTCCTATGCTGACCTTCCATGCTTCCGATATGATGTGTTTTTCCAGGGACTGGTCCTTCCTGGTGACATGCTTAAAGTACATGAGACAGAGCTTCGAAATCCTTACTGCCCATGAGCAAACTGGTTTCACCCTCTCCTGGTTAGATACATTCTCTTGGCAGTACATGGGATGTTCAAATTACTTGTTGAGCATAACAACCCAAAGGCATAGATTTTTCTGTCATATTTAGTCATTGTACAGCTCTTCAGATGCATAGCAAGCAATTGAGAAGAACGTGGCCTGGATCAAGGCTTACTAGGTGACTCAAACTTGAACTTGACCATCTTTAAACTAGAACCATAATCGAGCTACCTTCTCTGGACTCATGATTTATAGCAACATGTATAAACACTGAACAATCTCATGTACTGTAAGAGCTCAATGTCTAGTAACTAGGATATAAGTTACTATTAACAACTAGCAACAATTACTCTAAAGGGAGTCATCTTAAAAAATAAGATGTTGGGTTTATGGAAAATGCTCTAAATACTTGAGGTTACCAATGTAGATGGAACTGCTTTGGGGGCAGTGAGATCCTGCTGGAATATTCCAGGATGAATATTCTCTAATGAGCATTTTTATAGGAGTTTATATAAGACACAACAAGAGGATTTCTGCTTCTTCCCATCTCCAGGGCATCATTAACCTTGGTATCAGTGAGAACAAGCTCTGCACTGACCTAATAACCGAAAGGGTAAGTATGTTCTTGAGTGTGTGGGAACCCACCACAGTCCTGGGCCTTCTATGTGATGTTTCTGAGTAAGTGTAAATACAGCTGGGGCTTCAGAGTTGAGGACTAGCTTTTGGAAGAACCCACCTAAACTCCTGGCCTCGCTGTGTGCAGAGCATACACTCTGGATAGGTATATGCTGTGTAGGCTGCCAAGGAAATTTCTGGGCCAACTGTAAGATATGGAAGGCTGAAAAGCCAAGTACTACCTGATGAGTTAGCTGAAATCTGATAAGTTGAAGCCTCTATTCTATAGAAAAGTTAGCATGCATGTCCATTTACTTTTTAAGGGGTGATCTATGTACAAAACACTAGTATGCATACTGTGACTAGAATGAGGCCTGAGGGCTTCCTCCACTGTCCTTAAACTCTCTTTGCTAACAGTTCAAACGGAGTGACATGGCTTACCTGGAGAATAGCCTGTTACAATACAATGACTGGACAGGACGATTATTGTAAGTAACTTCAAAATCTATGTACCTGGTCTATAGATAACTCTCTTCATTCAGGGAAGAATTCAAGGCACCAACATTTCAGCTGACTGCCTAGATATTTCTTTGTGTAATTTCTAAAGACGACCCACAGCAAAAGTTGAAATAGCTCTCTCATAACTCAAAAGACCAAAATTCTTACACCAATTTCCTCTTCATATCTGTATGATCTGGGAAGTTGATAGTCTTAGTTCTTAGTCTTGTAAATGAAGCTGAGAGTCGTAGCAAAGAATTCTTTCTTGAGTTGTCATTATATGCTTTGAAAAAGACTGAACTCTAGAATTTGAAGACGAGTCCCTGGGCTTGGAAACCATAGGGTATTTGTGGATCTGTCTACAGCCTCCGGCAAGAAATAGCTAATTTCCTGTATCACTACTGTAAGGCACCTTCTCCGCTTGATCCAGAAAACGTGAGTGATTCCTGGCCTTGCTACCATTCTGATTTAGGTCTGTATCTTGAGGGGGACCCACTGACTTTTCTTGGGGTGGGAACCAGGAAGAACCGGTAGAATCTCAGAGCTTGGGTAGAGTGAGGGTCAGCGAATCACGACTAAGGAAGATCTTGATCCCCATTGTCACTAAAGATAGAATGACAGTCCTTTGTACATAAATCGTGCATTTTTGACCTATGCCTTTTATGTATCTCCTTCAGGTGGTTGTTCTAAATGGTTGCTGCTCTATCTTCTCTGCACTGTCCATGGTTCTGTGTGATGCAGGAGGTAATTTCAACGGGATCTCTTCTCACTCTCAGTGAAACACACGACTACGGACAAGAGCACACTATCAGAGTCTTTCCTGGGAAAGGGCTGGCATTTGTCCTGTACTAACCAATCCATGTCTCCCTATTCCTGTGAGAATAAAGGATTTGGATTCTCATTTAATATAGATGTGGGAAATCTATGGTAATTGTATATGCCTCGTGAATGACAAAGGAATCCAACCCATTATCTTAGCTTGACATTTTTGATCTTAACTCCAATATTGAACTCCCTGGTAAAATAGCAGAGTATATAGATTCTGGTTTTGGTTTTAAAAATTCTTGGACCAAGTTAGTCTGAAGTTTGTTTTCCAACCTCTCTAATCAGTATCCAAACAAGTGTTGGTGATTTTAACAATCTGTTAACATGGGAGAAAGTGACTAGAATGGCTTTATTTGACTAAAAAATGTAGGTCATTGACTAGCTCATTAATGAAGCCCAATAGATAGGAAGAAAAGTACATAGGAGCTTACCAGGTTCAGATTAAGTTGAGCCATTTGGAGAGCCTGGTACACAGACTTAACCTTCTAGACTTTGGCCTGAAGCACAACTGGTCTACCTGCTAAACATTTGACTTGATTCATGCCTTAGTTTCTGACCCATTCACGTTGACATTCCTGTTGACCTTCTTTAGTGTATCTCCAGAAAGGCAACTTGTGTCCCTCTTATCTTTATGTAAGAGCAAGCACATTTTGTAGGCTTTGAGTCCAAGAACACTAATCTCCAAGCTTTTTTTTTTCTTTTTCTTTTTTTTTTTCCTTTCTGTTGATAGCTTTGTTAGTCCAGAGGGGGAGCTTGGCAGGTCATGTGGGAAGACAGTGGACTGACAACTCTTATCTTGTTTTTCTAGAGGCCTTTCTGATCCCTACTCCCTTCTATGGTGGTTTCACCCTTAGTGCCAAACTGTACACAAAAGTTGAGCTGTTTCATGTCCACCTGGACAGTAAGGTCAGAATGGGGCCCTTCACCTTGCACAGTCCAACTAGGTAGGGGATTTTCCTAGGGACAGTGGGAATATGGGTCTGACAACATTGCCACAATTGATGATGGGGAAGGGTGGGAGGGACATCAAGAGAAAGTGGGTATATTGGATTAACACTCGAATGCAAAGGCAAAGGATTATTCTGGGTTTAAGGAAATGAGGACTCAAGGTTCAGAAGCTCTTAAGATGAACCATTCTGGGTACTGTTTTCTAGATCACTGATGAAAACAAACAACCTTTCCAGCTCACTGTCAAAAAGTTAGAAGATGGCCTGCTTAAAGCTATGCTTAAGGTAAAGAAGGATCTGGATTCTTTATTTTTTCCAATTTGATGAAAGAGGTTTATTAAGGCATTAAAGACAGAGGCATAGCTAGTGAAAGTTGTTATGTGCCATCAACTCCCCTGCAACTCAGTGACCCTATTTACAACAGCTCTGAAGCCTGCCCTATCCTGAGCCAGTCTCACTGACTCTGACACACCTACCCTATTGCCCCAGTTACTGTATCAATCCATCTCATCCAAGGTCTTGCTTTCCTGTGCTGTCCTCCTACCCTTCCAAACATGATGTCCTTTACCAAGGACGAGTGCCTCGTAGATACATGCTCAAAGTATGTGAGACAAAGCTTCAAAATCCTTGCCTCCAGGGAGAAACTTGGTTTCATTCTCTCCAAGACAGACCTATTTGTTTTCTTGGTGATCCATGGTTTGTTCAAGATGCTTCTGAAGCACCACAACTCACAGGCGTTGATTCTTCAGACATCTTTAGTTATTGTCCAGCTTTCTGATGCATAGCAAGTAATTGTGAAGACTTTGGCCTGGATCAGGCACACTTTAGTCTCTAGACTGAAATCATTGCTCCTCAACACTCTGGAGCCAGTCCCTGAAAACAGATGTTCCCAGTGCAATTAATCTTTTGATTTCCTGACTGCTGGTGCCAAGAGTGTTGGCTGTGGAGCCAAGAAAGGTGTAATTGTTAACAACCTCAGTCTCTTCTCCATCTATCATGGTGCTGCTGCTGATTGGCCCAGTGGTGAGAATCTGTGTCTTAATTTTGAGCTTCAATCCATATAAAAGACTACATATGGTCCTTGACCTTCTGTAGCAAGAGCTTCAGGTCTACCTCAGTTTCAGTAAGCAAGGTTGCTTGACGTAGGTTGAGTCTTCTTCAGTCTTGATGCCACATTCCTCCTCATAAAACCCAGCCTCCCAAAAGATCTGTTCTGCATATAGATTGAGACGGTAGGAGACAGGGCACATCCCTGACATACTCGTTTCCTGATTTTTGAATCATGCTGTGTTTGCTAGTTCTGTTCTAAGGACAGCTTCCTGGTCTAAGTATAAGTTTCACATCAGCACATGTAGGTCATGCAAAAAAGTTAAAGTGTAAAATGGTGAAAGGATCTTTGCAAAGAAAAGGGAATGGGCTGAAGCCCAATCTTGCAGTATGCTGTCCGCAGAAAAGGAAAGAGAACAAGAAAAAAACTATACTTTCAAGATAGTCTTCAATCCATTTCTGAGGTAGCAGTGCCAAAGACTCCGGTATGACTTGCTTATCAAGACCTTAGGGGGCCTTAATAAGAGGGAATGAGCTCAAATTCTCTCCTAGCATCCTTGTCCCTTGTCCATATCATACCTCAGAGCTTTCTCTCCCTCTGAATGCAGTAGAACAGCTGCGGCTGCTTCAAGATCTTGCCTGAAACTTATGAAGCTATCCTATGTTAGGTGGTCTGGTCTATAAAGGACTTGTGGCTCAATTTTGGATCTACAATAGTATCTATTCACCCTGATCATTTTGGGATTTTTCTAGGGGAAAAAGATCAAAGGCCTTATACTCAACAACCCCCAGAACCCTTTGGGTTACACCTACTCCCAAGATTCACTGAAAGAGTACCTGACATTTGCCAAGAGGTGAGTTGCATCCTCTGAGAGAGGAAATCCCTAAAAGGCTTCCATCATTCACAGGTAAGTCTGAATATAGAAACAGGGTCAGAAAGAGACCCTCACCAAGGACTGATATGGCGACTGTAACAATGGACTCAAGTATCAGATAGTGGGGATGGTATAGGTTAGGACAAGGCTTATAGGGTTGACTCAATGACACTCAACAATCACACTCACCACATACTATATTTAACAAAGATACACACAATTGAAATTAGAATAGTGAAAGAAAAAAGCTTTGACTTCCACCATTTCACCCCATGTACAGATATATAGAAAACTATTGCAATTCTTAATGTAGCACAAGGACACTCATTTCCTAAATGTATCTGGTCCAAGATACTCAGGTAGGTAGACGCAAACCTCACAGGGTGGAAACATGTTCTTAAACTCTCAAGGAGGCCTGGTGACACACGAGTTCAGCAGCTCAGGCTAACCAAGCTCAAAGTTTGAAACCCACCCACCCACTCACCAGCCCAGTGGAAGTAAACACTTGATCCTATAAGGACTACAAACTAGAAAATGCCATTGAGTGGTTCTGCTGTCACACTGGGTCACTATGAGGTAGACTACACCACAGTACACAATACACAACTTGAACAACCCATTCCTAAGCACTTAAGATTAGTTAGTGCTTTAAGTCATACTCAGTTCAACGACACCTTAATAACCACAGTCCCAAAACAACTTTATTAGGGCAGATAGTCTGACTTCCAGAAAATAGATGAGCTCAAACT